CCAAAACCCCAAAACCCCAAAACCCCAAAACCCCAAAACCCCAAAACCCCTTAATTCAAGGATCGATACATATTCGAAAAAATAGAAATTTAGCATTCTAATTATAATACTTGGACTATACAAAAATATTAGAATAATAATGAAAAAGAAAGTTAATTAGCAGCAATCGCCATAACAGCATTCCCAGTAGCAACAGCCACCTCCAAACCAATTAAAAATACTAAAACCAATAATTAATCCCTAGCAATAGACTTTAAACTCCTAAACACCAGGCAAAGACAAAAATAACATTAAGAAGTCAGTGCTCATTTAAGAACCTGTTGATTAAAATGTGCAATCAGTAAATGAGAAAGAATAAACTCAAGGTGTTAAGAAGGATGAGAAAATCAGAGTGGCAATCAGAGTCAGGCCCAAACTTAGATCTGAAAACATCAAAGACTCAGTGGTTGAATGCACTGTATCTGTAAGTCATAGTTTATATTAAAGAATATTGATTGATAGGAAAATAAAATAAGAGTATCTGATTTAACGCATATTGTTGAAAGCAAATACGATTAGCTATTCGACATGCCATCTACTTAGAGAGATGTTTACGATTTCATTACTTGTAAGCATCACATCAATTAATTAGTTAATATATAGCTACTATACAGGGTGTGTTTGATGGGTATAATTCAACTATATTCGCATATGGGCAGACAGGTTCTGGCAAAACCTACACAATGTTTGGGCCCTCTTGGGAAGAGAATATTATCTTTAACAAAAAGCAATAAAATGCTCTTAAGGTTAGGAATCAGCTGATAGACCAACAAGCAATCATAGTTGATAAAAACCAAGAAGGAGTAATTCCTAGGTCAATTAGGGAGATCTTCAATTTAATGAAGAGCAATGATAAGGCATCTCAGGATAAGACAAATCATACTATATACTGCTCCTTCATTCAGATCTACAATGAAAAGATTTATGACTTGCTTTAGGATATTGAGACTAAGAAGCCGCTTAAGGTAAGAGAAGACTAGAATGAAGGCATATTTGTGGAAGGACTTTCAGAGTACATAGTTTAGACTGAAAAAGACTGTTTTGCTTTGTTGAGAAGAGGAGAGCTAAACAGGATAACTAGGCAGACTAAGAAGAACATCCTCAGTTCCAGAAGTCACTCCATCTTTTAGCTGCTAATTGAAAGTGATAAGCCTGATAGCAGAGGATTTCTAAAAAAGGCTAAATTAAATCTATGTGATTTGGCTGGTTCTGAGAAGATACATGGTCTTGAAGATATGCAAAATGCTGTGCACATAAATGAACTGAAGACTATCAATCTGAGTTTGACGAATCTGGGCAAAGTCATTCAGGCATTGTCAAAGGAGTCAAAGATGATGAAGAAGAATCAAAATCTATTCACTCCGAGAGGACATGCTGACTATTTCTAGAAAGTGCATATTCCCTACCGTGATTCACAACTCACCAGAATACTCTAAGACTCGCTGGGTGGTAACACTCGAACAGTGCTGATAGCTACAGTATCACCAATAATTGACAATATTGAAGAAACCATATCAACCTTAAAATTCGCAGACAGAGCTAAACAGGTAATGGCAACAATTAGGGCAAATGAGATAAATGCTGCTGATGATGCTTTAGTTTAGAAGTTGCAAAAAGAGGTCTAGACTCTGAGAGAGGTTCTTAATCTTAGAAGGAAAGGTGTGACTAATGATATATAACGCGAACTCTTAGTATTGAAAGAAGAAAACCTAAAACTTAAAGAAATGGCTTAGAATGCAGACATGGTTGAAAGACTGAAACTAGAGAACAAACTCATGAAGTTAGAACTTCAAAAGATGAAGGAGCCAGGTGGCAGTGATTATGGGAGCAACACTCAGCATTTCAACACCCTCGGTGGTTCTTCTGAACTCACCAATCACACTAGTAACTCTTTCGTGGGCACTATCAGGAGAAGCAACTAAAGCGATCCTTTTTTGGAGTTCTAAGAAAGCGACCCCACAGTCAACTCTAAAGCCTCTTCTTTCAAAATGAAGGGAGGAGCTGAGCACATTATTATTGAGGAGCGCAAGCAGGAGGTCAAGAGCCTGCAAGGCAGTCTTTAAAAGAATGGACGATGTCCTATATGCACATTGCTGCCACCGTGCAATCACTACAAAAATCAGAGTGAGGTCCTTAGGCAAAATATAAATGAGGTGAATGAGAATCTTGAGGAGACCTTCTCTGTCACTAAGAACAAGTGAGAAGATCTGGTGCTGCCAAAGCTGGGAAAAGGACATGCAAATACTCAAAGCATGCCTTCCTTAAATCTGAAGGCAGTCAAAGATAATCCCTATGGACTGATTCAAGACCAGAAAAAAAAGAATACTGATAGATATGAGCTTGGCAGTTATTCGCCCAAGAATACTTTTTCAGTTGAGAGAAAAGAATCAAATTCAACTCTTTAAATTGGGTTCAACAATAACAACATTTTAAATAGCAGTGATTCAGCATAGAAACTATCAGGTCCTTCCTTTTTCCCTTAATTAGTATCTGGAATGACTCACAACTAGAACTTGCAAGACTACGGGAGTGACCACTTTACCTCAATAAGTTAAAGACTTGAAAGGAACAACTCCTTCAGAAGAAAAAATAACAGAAACGCTTACTTGAGTAATTCACTGGTACCTTAGACGGAACGAGCAGAGTTGACGGATGAGAACAATTTCCTTGAAGTTAGGATCAGAGGCAAGAACAACACCTTCGCTAAAAAGAAAGCCAGTGCCTTCGTGACTCTAGACGAGCAATCTAAGATACAAGAAAAGAGGAAAGAGCAGATAAAGCAAAGTGAGAGACTGAAGTAACTTCAGATATTCGAGAAGGACCGCGAAACCAAGATTAAAAATGACTTCTAGCAAGAACTCAAAAAGATAGAGGATCAGTACACATAGAATGCTCTGCAAAGTGCGAGGAAGAGGATATGACGACTAAGAGTCTAACTTAAATTGTAGTGAATATAAATAAATAACTAAAGACTATATGATTAATAAGGTCTTTGAAAACATTTTATGCATTATAAACAATAATATTTTTACTAGTGTTTCGATTAAAAGTAATTAATAATTTCTCAATCGCTCGATACTCATTTCTTATTCCTATTCTTTAACTTATCCATTATTGGTTGAAACTTTTCCTTCATCATGCTAGTAAAACCATATAGCGTCTTAGACACATACTATTCAATGCTTGGAGGGAACTTGTGTCTTTGCTGCAATACCCAGAGGAAATAGAAGAAGTCAATAATCAGGTACAAGCAAGTTGTCGCCATCATAACCATATCAGAAAATTCCTATTTTAATTCGATTACAGCAAAATATTTGAATGCTTACATCTCCATCTCTGCCGAATCTGATTAACTGAATTACGAACTCAATGAAGTCCATTAGAATGCAGATGATTGTGAATACAAAGTAAAGCTTTAAATTCGACTCCATATTAGTGGCGAATCCAATCATTTATTCCTTGAGTTTCTCAGTTATTTTTGCTATAAACTCCTCGAACTTCAGTTTATCATTCCCGAAATCCTTCAGGTGACTGATCATGTCGTGAGACTTAGGCATTCTTCGGTAGATAATGAGACCTACTTGTCCTCTTACGGGGTGGAGGATGTGCATAAAGATGAAAGCCATTTGCTCAGGAAAGGTGAAGAACAGGAGCAGACCGACTCCGAATATTGCTATTTCAAGTACTGACGCCCAAAATATAATTGAGTGGAATTCATACTATTAAGAATGAGATAAGGACAATTGTATATTATGATTACAAGAACGATTTCGATATTCATAGTTAAGTCTAAATACTGAACTACTTGATAGATATCTTCACCTTTTGGAAGCAAAGAATCTCCAGCTTTCAAAGGAACTTAGTCCAACTCAGCTACATCTAGATTCACATACATTTAATTCGGAGGTTGCTGTTGGTGCGAGTCTACTGATCTATCAGGATGATCCTAGCTGTAGTTATTAGAATGTCTAGAGTCTTCAAAATCTGAGTCCAATTCAATCTGGATTTCTCTCTAGTTCGTGGCCTATTTGAATTGGTTTATATATGACTAGGATAAACTAATTTGACTGCTTACTTCATTTTTAGTTGATTACATTTTAAATTTTAAATCAATTCTCCTCTATTCTTATTATACCCAAATTTAATGCTAAGCGGGGTTTTGGGGTTTTGGGGTTTTGGGG